GGAGGAAGGAGGGAGGAGGGAGAAGGAGGAGGAGGAGGAGGACGAGGGGCAGTGCCAGGAGAGCGGAGCCAAGAGAGTGGGGGACGCATGATGAGGAGACGGGCTGCGCTCTGTCCTCTTCTTCCCCCTCTCGTCCCCCTTACCGTCCGATTGCCGTTGTCATTGTCGTCTTCGTCGTCGGCGTTGCCTTGCTCGTGGGTGAAAAACATTTCCTTTGGCCTCGCGGGCCGGGCCGTTGGGCCGCGACCCCGCGGACAGGGGGCGTTTTTTAGCGGATGTCCCGCGCGGAGCGCAATCCAGACGGCGAGGGTCGCGGAGATGGACATGTACTCCGCTTGTGCATTTTCCCTCGTCCTCCTTCCATGTCCGATTTCCGTCGTCATGCCATCGTTGTCGCCTTCTTCGTCGTCGCCGTCGCCTTGCCTTCGCGCCTCCGCCAGCAACTCCCGCCGCCGTCTCGCCGCCTCCTTTCGCCGTCTTCGCCTTCGCCTTCGCCTCCTCCTGCCGTCGTCGCCGTCGCCGTCGCGTTGCCGCCGCCGTCCTCCTCTCGCCTCCGCCTCCTCCTGGCGTCTTCGTCGTCGCCGCCGCCTGGCCTTCGCTGCCTCCGCCAGCAGCTCCCGCGCGCCTGGACGGAGACCGCGGGCACGGCGACCTTCGACCTCTTCGCCATCAAGGCGCCGCGAGCCTCCCGTGCGCGGCGGGCGTCTCCCAGGGCCTCGACCCGGCCCAGGGCCGAGCAGGTACCTGTGGGCCCAGGAAGGGGCCGTGGCGAGAGCGACTGAAGCCCGAGTTCGGAGGCAACGTGAGGGGGGGATAGGCTCAGGGGGGGATGCGCCAAGCACCTCTCTTGGCCTCCCCCTCTCGGACGCCCCCGAATTGAACTTACAGATGTTCAGGGTAACAGTGGCGGAGGATTGGCTCAGATGGGACGAAGCTTCGAGGTTCGAACTTCGAGGTTTTCGGACGTTCCCGTGGTTTCTCTGCAGTTTCTCAGCCTCGGGATGCTTCCCAGCAGCTGCGCCTCGCCGAGAGCGTTCCGGGGGTGCCCGGACCGTCACGAACGGCCGCCGGAAAGCCGAGTCATGGCCCGAAAGCCAAGGGGCAACGTTGCGGGGGTGGGATTGGTTCAGGGGCGGATGCATCGATCCCCAATCGCGCATTGATCGCCGATATGAGCCCGATAGCCCACCCCGCCCATGAGCATGCAGATTCGCCATCGTGGGGCTATCGCTGACCTTTCGGCGATGCATCGCCGATTCAAGCTCGATGGCCCCCTCCTCCCCCCTCAGCTGGTCCCCCCCTAACGGTGAGCCCTCAAGCCAGAGTTTGTTGGGCTCCCAAATCACACCGCATCGCCAAATGGCAAGGCTTCGGTCTGCGCCCACACAGCCTGTGGAGGTAGCGCAGGCTGTCTTCAACAGGCCCCCAGGGTAGTCCGGGGGCGTGTGGAACCTGAGCAGCCACTTTACAACCAGATGGGGCACTTTACCACCAGCATGGGTTTTCCCAGAAGGGCACTGTACAACCAGGAAGGCCACTTTACAACCAGGCGAGTAAACGCACATAAGCGACACATGTCCTTCAATTTCCGAAAATCTCCGTGGGTCCACGTAAGGGAGACACTTCGCTCTCTGAAACGTGTTGGTTGTGTAAAGTGACCCGTCTGAAGCGAGAACCTGTGAAGTGGCGGATGCCTAATGTGATCCAACAGGAATTCTATTGGAATTCGAACCTTCCTATTGGAATGCCGCGGGGAACGCACCTGGGGTAAGTGGGTATTCTTGTGGGTCCCCGTTCGACAACAATAGGACACGTTTTTCTCGGATTCCCATCAGAACCTTCGTGGCGAATACGAAGGATATCGCAATCCAATCGGGGTCCTTCCTTTTCGGTCCATACGGGCGTACTACTGGGATCCCACCAGGACCCAACTGTAACTCAGCAGAAACCTGGCTTCTTTCATTCATTTTGTGCCCCGAGTGGTGCCCTAGTGTTATCCTTATGATATCCAAAAGGAGATATTTAATCCACATTGAAATCACATGGACATCCTCCCGCTACAGGCTGGTGGACTCAGGCCTCGGCGGATAATGCTTTGAAGTGAAACACCCACTCCATGTCTCAAATCAACATCGGATTGTTGGGGGTCTCGTAACCTCTGCCTGAAAATCTTACTTTTCTGGAAATCGAGAACAGTAAGCGTTCGCCGCAAAACGACGCAGAGAAACACGCAAGCTCCCAGGAGAGCGGAGTTGTGGCCAAGAAGTCGTTGGTACAATCTTAGCCAATCCATGCGCCTCATCGTCTGGCCATCAGAAACCATGCTTGTCATCCCGCCACATCGTCCGGCAATGACAAAAAACAATTCTGTGTTCATAATTGCGGAAGCATGCGTACCCAGGAGGGCGGACATGTTGCCCAGAAATCGATGGCAAAGTTCTAGCGGGTACATGTGGATTTCAATATGTGTGTTTGGCCTCACAAACATTTTTAGTCCTCGCCGCGGTCGTATGTGTACCCAGGAGGGCGGAAAGGTGGAGACGGAATCGATGGTAACATTCGAGCCAATACATGTGAATTTCAAATTGCGGTTTTTGCATCGTAGACCATGCTTGTCCTCGCGCCTCATGGTCTGGCAATCGCGAAAACCAAATGGTTTCGCAATTGCGAGCATGCGCGCACAGGAGGGCGGAAATGTGGCCAATAAGTCGATGGTAACAATCGAGCCACTGCGTGTGGATGCCAATTCGTTGTGTCAACGTTCGTCCTCGCGCTTCATCGTCTGGCAATGCAGAACCGCATGTTTTCTCATTCGCGGATGCACGTGCCCAGGAGGGCAAAAATGTGGCCAAGAAGCCGTTCGTAACACTCTAGCCAACGCGTGTGGATTTCACATTCTGTGTTTGGCATCATAGGCCATGCTTGTCCTCGCGCCCCATCGTCTGGCAATCGCAAAACCGTATGTTTGCGCAGTTTCGGAAACATGCGTGCCCAGGAGGGCGGACAGTGCCGAAATCCTTGGATACATTCTAGCGAATGCATGCGGATTTCAATTTGTACGTTTTGGCATGGCAAGCAGTTGTTGTTCTCGGTTTGCAGAGGCTTCGGAGCGCTCAAGACCGCTCCGGCGCTCGGAAGCCTTTGTAAAGCGCCCAGGCGCTCAGAATCCTTTGACAAACGCCCAGGCGGTCAGAAGCTTCTGCAGAACGCCCAGTTGCTCAGAAGCCTCTGCAGAGCGCTCTGGCGCTCAGACGCCTCTGCAAAGCGCTCAGGCTCTCAAGAGCCTCTGCCTCTGCAGAGCGCCCAGGCGCACGGAAGCCTCTGCAGAGCGCTCAGGCGCTCTTCAGCTTCTGCAGAACGCTCAGGCGCTCAAAAGATTGCAGAGCGCTCAGATGCTCATATGCCTCTGCAAAGCGCTCAGGCGCACAGAAGCCTCCACAAAACGTTCAGAAGTTTCAGGTGCCCCTGCAGAGCGCGCGCGCTTTTCGGAAGGCTGGTTGCAAAATGGCCGTTCTGGTTGCATAGAGCCACGTCTCGGTTGTAAAGTGGTCGTTTTGGTTGTGAAGTGGCCCGTGCTGGTTGTAAAGTGGTCGCGCCCAAAGGAAACCAAGGAATTATTTTTTCCTGGTTGTAAAGTGACTTTTCTCGGTTGTGACATGTTGTTCGGGTTGTAAAGAGACCGAATCTCTAGTCCGGGGCGGTCTCGAAAGCCTTGGGCTGTCTCCAGCGGCGCCACCAGGGCGCTCTGCGCGCTGGGTCATTTGAGACCGCACCAGAGTACCCTGGTGGCCTGACCTCCACGGGTTGTTTGTGCGCAGCCTCAGGCTTTGCCATCGCGAATTCAGCGGCCTTGCGACGCTATTTTGAACCATGTGTTTCTACATGGTGTCGCCGACGCATCGTCGATGCCTCGGCGGTGCGGTGCAAACTTGGGCTCGTTTCATACCGTGGCCTTTGGCCCATACCGCCACCGTGCCCGTGTGAGCCTGAGATGTGGACCTCTCAGAGGTCTCTTGGGGGTCTGCCTGGTGGGGCCATCCTGAGGCGGAGGGATCCCAGGGGGCCCCTCGAGTTCCCCCTCTGGGGCCCCTCTTGGGACCAGATTGGAGGCCTCCTCGGCCCCCCCCCGTCGGGGCTCGAGGGCCGACTTGCGGCGATCTTTTTGGCAGTGTTTGGGCATGGCCGAAAAAACTACAATGTCAAACTGCTGCTAACGTATTGCTTGTCCACCACCTTTGCGTCGTGGGCCAGCCCCCGCGTCCTCCAAGACCGCCCCGGACGGCCCCCCTGCACTACCTCAGGGCACGTGGCTAGCGAAAGCCCCGCAGCCCGAAAACGCCCGCTGGGTGTCGAAAGCAGGCGAACAAGGCATTCCTGTTGTCTCAAGTCGTCGGGGTCTGGGGGCAACAGCTTTCGGCCGATTGTGAAGGCCTTTCGGCTGGTGCCGCCGGCCCTGAAGGCGGGGCCGCCCCTACGGGGCCCCCTCCTGGGACCTTGGCCGGGGTTGGGGCCAGGGCCGGGGCCGAGGCCGGGTCCGGGGCCAGGGCCAAGGCTGGGGCCAGCCCCCCCCCCCCGACAGGGGGAACCCCTGCAGCCCCGCCTGTCCACAGCTAGGTCCACCCGCGGGAACCCGCCGGGAATCCGGGGGCCGCATTCTGAACTGGGACCCCCTATTCCGCTCCGTACCCCTTCCCTGGACCCCCCCCCTAGCTCACCCCCCTATCCTTGTTCCTTATTATTATATACCCCCACCTACCTCGTATTCCGGCCGATAGCGACCCAATCCGGGACTTCCCATCCGGACTGTAAAAAATCAATACACGGTGGCCGTTTTTCTTCTCAACATCGTTTTTCTTGTCGTCGACGATGCGAAAAGCGTGGCAGGAATGGGAGGCGGCGCACATCGCGCGCGGCAGTCGATTTGAGCCCGCCCATCCTGATTGTAAAAAATAAATGCAGAGTTGTTCGTTTTTTCCTCTCAGCATGGCCTGCCTTGTCGCCGACGGTGCGAAATATGTGGCAGCAATGGGACGCGGCGCACATATGGGACGCGGCGCGCATCGCGCGCGGCCGTCAATCCGGGCCCGCCCATCCTGATTGTAAAAAATCAATACAAAGTCTCCGTTTTTTCCTCTTAGCATGGCTTGCCTTGTCGCCGACGGTGCGAAAATATGTGGCAAGAATGGGACGCGGCGCACATCGCGCGCGGACGTCCATGCGGGCTGCGGCCCCCCCCATCCTGACTGTAATAAACAATACAGAAGTGCCGTTTTTCCTTTCATCATGGCCTGTCTTGTCGTCGACGATGTGAAATGCGTGGCAGGAATGGGGCGCGGCGCACATCGCGCGCGGACTTCTGGGGCAACCCCACGGCGGGAGAGGCCACCTTACTTGTCAGAAACAATGCCATGCTGATTTTCCCTGCCCACATAGCTGTTCTTGTCGTCCACCCCGCAAAAGTGCATGGCAAGAATTGGGCGCGGCACACCCCCCCCCGCTCGAAGTGAATGAAATGACCTTCTCGCTTGGGCGCCGAGCGAAATTTTCTCAAAATTGCGCTCCCGCTTTGGCTCGGCGCACGTTTTTACCTCGCCAATTCGCTGGGCGCCGGGGCGTTCCAGGAGGCCCTGGGGTGACGAATGCCTGGGAGGTTTTTGCTTGTTCAGGCTCTTGGAGGGCCTCCTGAGGCTCCCCGCGGTTTCTTGGCGCTACGGCCGTCTGGAGGCCACCTTGGGCGTCTTGGAACGATCTTTCGGCGACTCACGGCTACTACTATTACTACTACTACTACTACTACTACTACTACTACTACTACTACTACGACGACGACGACGACGACGACGACGACGACGACGACGACGACGACGCCAACACGACGACGACTGACGACAGACGACGACGACGACACGACGACACGACGGACGCGAACGACGACGACGACGACGACGCCGACGACTAACGACGACGACGCGGACGGGACGACGACGACGACGACGACGACGACACGACGACGACACGACGACGACTACGACGACGACCGACACGACGACGACGACGACGACGACGACTACGACGACGACGAACGACGACGACTACGACGACACGACGACGACGACGACGACGACGACGACACGACGACGACGGAAGACGACGACGAAGACGACGACGACTACGACTACGACGACGACGACCGACGACTACGAACGACGAAGACGACGACGACGACGACGACTACTACTACTACTACTACTACTACTGCTACTCTACTAATACTACACTACTACTACTCTACTACTACACACTACTACTGACTAACTACTACGACTCACTACTACTACTACTACTACTACTACTACGACTACGACTACGACTACGCTACTACGACTAACGACTACGACTACGACTACGCCTACGACTCGCCCTACGAACTTCGACTTCGACTACGATTACACTACGACTAACGATTACGACTACGACTACGACTACGACTACTACTACGATTACTACTACTACTACTACTACTACTACTACTACTACTACTACTACTACTACTAACGACTACTACTACTACTACTACTACTACTACTACTACTACTACTACTACTACTACTACTACTACTACTACTACTACTACTACTACTACTACTACTACTACTACTACTATTACTACTACTACTAACTACTACTACTACTACTACTACTACTACTACTACTACTACTACTACTACTACTACTACTACTACTACTATCACTACTACCACTACCACTACCACTACCACTACTACCACTCTGCGCCAGCACCCAGTTGCGCCAGCATTGTTTCTTATGTTGTGGGAGGGCAGACCGTGTCCGTTGTTCCTTTCAGCATGGCCAGTCTTGTCGTCGACGATGCGAAATGCGTGGCGGGAATGGGACGCGGCGCACATCCCGCGCGGACGTCAATGCGGTGTCCTGGGGTATCCTCCACTCGCACTGAAATGCCCGCGCAGCCCCCAGTTGTGCTATCACTGTTTCTTATGTTGTGGGAGGGCGGGTGGGAGTGGGCATGCCATGCTTGACTCGCTCGAGCAAGCTAGCTTGACCCATCCCCCTACCCCCCCCTCTACCCCCTTCCTACCCCCTCCCCTCGTAAGGGAACCGGTTTAACTACGACAATTATGTATTCTCTTTGTTCGTTCCTTCATTTTCTCGGGTTTGGTGACGACGAAGACGACGAAGGCGCCTCACACACGCCGCAGGGTCGGCGGATGTCGTTGACGAGGCCCTCAGGCCGAGCCCAAAGAGTCTTGACTTCTGTCTGCCCCGCGCGCGGACTGGAGGATCGCCCCCTGCTCTTGATGTGGCGTCGTTGACGCGAGACGGGGGGACTCGGGAGAGGATTGCTTGGATGCTTTTCGTTTCGCTGACGCGGCTGGCCGCGCCAGCGCGCTCAGCTGGGAACTCTTCCACGTCTGAATGCCCTCTACCTCTCTCCATCCTTCGCGGTCGCCCCGTCTGTCCTGTCCCTCCCCTCCTGCACGTCGGCCACTTCGCGTATCGGTCGCGCCGATCGCCAAGCGCTGGAGCAGTTCTTCTGCCTCGCCGCCGACGAAACCGGCAGTTTTTTTCGTTTCGCGGCCCGCGCACGAGGGCCTGCAGGGGGCGTGGGTGGCCTCTGCCGTCCTGCCGCCCTTCTGCCCGGCCCTGGCCGCTCGATGGGGGCGGCGGGATCATACCCCTGAGAGTCACCGCTTATTGCGTTTGACTCCAAGGCGCTCTCTGTGTTTCTTGCGCTTCGATGGTTTAGCCGTGCAAGGTGTGATGTTCCCACACCGGAAATCAATGGACGTCCTGGGGTCTCAGGGTTGGGTCTCTTGTGGAGGGTTTCTTGCGGCCAGGCCTCCACTGTATCGAAGATCCAGTGTCTTCCTTCACGGCGGGTTGGTTTACTCGAGATGAGGCGGTCGAGGTTGTGAGGAAAGCCGCGGTTGAAATAGGCGGCCCGCTGTCCAGCAGGTGACCTATGCTTCGGGAATGAAAAGGGGCCCCTCGGGGGACGTTTTGGAAAGAGGGTCTGCTTGAGGCCTCTTGATGGCCTTTTGGGATCTCGTGAGAAAGTCCAGGGTTCGCTTGGAACTGGTTTCCTTTCAAAACCGCCGACACCCTCCCAGAACCCTCCGGAAACCTTCAGGGAAGGGCTACAGGAGGCTGTTCGGATGGTTTCGGGGTGGGTGGGGGGTGGAATGGTTTTTGAATTCGATACGTCAGTCCGAGTTCCCCCATGTGGGTCTCTCTCGAGGCCGTCTTGGTGGCCTCTCTTTGGCCCTCCCTGAGGGCCACGGGGGCCGTCTTGGGGCGGTCTTCTGGGGCCTCGTGGGCAGCCTTGGGCGCGCTCGTGAGAGGGCCAGGTCATACGGATCGGCGGCGAGCGATGGGGGGGAAGTCCGAGGCGAATTTTTCCCACTCTTACTTTAAACGAGTTGTGGGTGGACATAATATCATGATGTCCGCCTGGGCCCCCGTCGGTCGAGCGGAAATGCGAGCGCAGTGGCGCGCGCGGTCGCGCACGACCCGCCGCTGGTAATAACGTGAATGCGCGGGCGTCGCGGCGACGACGACGGCGACGGCGACGACGACGGCGGCGCCTGCGCCGACGGTGACGACGACGCCGGCAACGGCGACTGCGGCGATGACGAACATCTCGGCGACGGCGGCGACGGGGACCGGGCCCACGGGCGATCTTTTGCCCCGCCATCGCCTCTGGAGTTCCGCGCCAGATTTTGTGGGAAAAGTGGACTTTCTGCGTGCAGTTCTGCCCCAGCCGCCCGTCCGTTTTTCTGAAGCTTTCTTTTCGCTTTAGTTCAACGTCGTCTTTCGGAATGTATTGAGCGGCGCGGCGCGCCTTTACTGAAGCCGCTTCCTCGCTTTAGTAAAGCCGTTCTTTCGCTCTAGCAAAGCCGCTTATTCTCTTTATTAAAGCCGTTTCTTCGCTTTAGTAAAGTCCGCGGTCTGCCGTAGTAAAGTCCTGGGGATGCGGTGGTGATGCGGGGCCAGGGCCCGGTCGGTGGGCGGGGGGGCCTTGTCTGTCTTGCCAGTCCACCCCGCGATGCATGTGCTTGAGTAATCAGGGTCGCGTTGCGTGTGGTCGCGGCGGCCCTTGGGCATGTTTTCAGCGAGTCTTAGATGCTCCTTGACAGGAGATTCAGCGCGCGAGCGCATGATGTGGTTCGGCAATTCGGACTCGCCGCCGGGCCTGACGCTCAACAGTGTCGCGCAACAGAGCAACAACACTTCAATAAAAGGCGGGCTTCCTTACGCAAATCGTTTAGCCAAAGAAATCGTGTACAATTTTCGTTTCAAGGAAGTGAAAAGAAGGAGGCCCTCTCAGAAGGTGGCGGGTCTTTTCGGACCCCCCCCGCCCCCGGCCTTTAAAACGTGTTTTGTGTCTTCGTGGAGAACTCTGCAAATTTTTCAAAAGTTGGGAAACGTTCGAGTCCTTTGCGAAGGCCCGCCCCCTCTCACTTCCACCCCGGCCGCGCCGCCTGAAGGAATCTACGACGTTGAATATGATGTTGGCATTCCGGCCGAAGATGTGCCCAAGAGGGCTCCAGGTTGTTAGGTCCGGACAGCATCTTGGAGGCCTTGTTGGAAGTTTGGAAACCTAACCACGCTGCCGGAACCCTCCTGGGAAAGTCATGCGAGCCGCCCCGAAGGGCCCGGGAGGGCCCGAGAGCGCTCAGGAACGACCCGACATCCCGCCCTTGGGTCCCGCAAAAGACATTTACAATACGCAACGCGGAAACTTCGAGGGGACTCCACGCAGACCTTTCGGCGCGGTGTTCCCCGGATTCGCCCCTGGACCGTGGCAGGCGTAAGGCGGAAGCAGCAGGAGAGAGGCAAAAGGATGGGGGAGGAGGAGGAGGAGGAGGAGGAGGAGGAGGAGGATAGATGGAGGAGGAGGCCGGAGGAGGCAAGATGAGAGAGGAAGTGGGGAGTGGTAGGGCGGGCCCTGGATTTGGATAGGTCGCGCCGAAGCGCCCCGGAACCTTTCCAGACCGTTCCAGGGCGCCTTGGAGCGGCCGCGGCGACCGGTATATACATCTTCCAGGCCCGCTGGAATACAGAGGTCTCCTGCTTGGCCCCGACCTTGTCCTTGCTCTGGCTTAGTCTCACGCGGCGTCGCCCTCCCTCCTCCTCCTCCTCCTCCTCCTCCTCCTCCTCCTCCTCCTCCTCCTCCTTTCCTCGTTCTTCCCTCCTTCCGCCCTGCCTCTGCCCCTTTGCCCCGGCCTGCCCGCCAGCCGGCGCCGGGGCAACCCTTCGGCTGGTGCGCCATCGCCGCGTGCATCGTCGCGTTCTCCTACCTCGTGCAGGCAGGGGCGGCGCCATATAGAGGGCCCCCCCCCTTCTGCTGCTTCCTGTCGATGGCGCCTCTTCCCTCCCCTCCTGTTTGAAGCAATCGCGACGTCGCGCTCCTTCTGGCTCTTGCTGCTCCTCCTCACTGCTGTCTGGAGGAGGATTGAGGTGAGGGCGGAGCGGGAGGACAAGGAGGAGGAATAGTGGATGTCCCTGAGGACGTGTGTTGGCCCAATGTGTGTTTACTCTCTTCGGCCTGTGCCGGCCATAGTAGTTGCACCACCTGCGTCGTATTGAGGGGCTTCGGTGGACCAACACACTTCGGCGCCAACACACGTTCTGAGGATCATCGAAGATTAAGGGGAGAGGGAGCGGGAGGAGGGAGGTGGAGGAAGAGGATCGAGGAGGAGAGAGCGGAACCTTGGGGGCATCCAGGATTGCATATCGGGCTTCAGTAGGTACGATCGACATGGGTACGGAAGAAGGGCGACAAAGGCTGATAGCAATTTCTGGCCATCTTGAACATGGCTCGCTGTCAGTGCTGCCGCGGGCGTTATCCATTTGGGACAGAAAGCCGCCTACCCACCAGCAACTGCTGTCGTTTTGGTCAACAGTTGCTGGTGGGCATTGTCCCCATGTTTGTCCGTACTCATTGTTGGCGCCTTACTGTGGGGTTGTAAAGCCCATTCCGCCCCACCTTCTGCACGCTCTTACATCCTCTTCTGCTTGTGCCACTCCTTTTCCCTTATCCTTCCCGGCTTCCCCTTAGCTCCCTTATCCCGCCGCAGATCTTTTTAATATTGTTCTCTGACCCCCTCTCACCTCCTTCTCCTCACACCTCAGTGCTCCCTCCCGCCTTGTCCCTTCTTCCTCCCGCCTCCTCCTTCCCCTCTCCTCCGTAGCCTTCCTAGATGGCACGTGTCCGTTACGAGTTTGCCGCCTTGATTCATCAATCATAATGTGGCCCACAGAGGGCCTAGCTAGGGGTCATTAGTGCCGACCTCCGCGGGTCTCGAACATGGCAAAGTAGTTCTGGGAGTGTCTGCTCTCTCCCTCTTCTTCTCTTGCCGGGTTCCCTCCCCGGCCTGGCTCCTCCAGCTACCCTCCCCCTTCTTTGCCATCGCCGCACCCCCATCCTTTCCTCCGTTGCCCCTGCCTATTCTTATTGTTTTACGCGCTGTCGTTTCTAGCGCTTCGCGCCGTCCGCCGCCTTCTCGTTTCTGTGCGTTGGGCCGCCTGGGACTCAGAGCTGAGCCTCCCTTCGCTGGGAGGGTAGCGGTCAGAACAAGAGGTACCCCCCTTGGAGGGCTTTCTGGGCGAGAGCTTTCAGCAAGACGGCGCGCAGACTGCCGCAATGTCCAGTCCGAGCCACCGACCTTTGCCTGAGGGCAGGTCCGTGCCGTTCTGGCGCGGCAGCCGCCCCGCCGCGGGCGTTCAAGGTTTCACACCGCCTGTGGCCCAGAAGCTGCCACTGTGGACCCACCTGGCGATCGAGCCGCCGCCGATCGTTCCCGGGCCGAACGAGCCACCCGATGTCAGAGACCACCAGCAGGTTCGTGACGACACCGGCCTCGCCGCTCCCTTGGGGACGGAGGAGGAGGATGAGGAGGAGGAGGAGGAGGAGGAGGAGGGGAGGAGGAGGAGTAGGGGAGGAGGAGTAGAAAAAGGACGGAATGATGACGAGAGAAGCTGAGGAGGCGAGGAGCGAATGGGAGGAGGAGATTGGAGGAGATTGAGTAGAGGAGAGGAAGGAAGGCCGGTGCCCGTCCCCAGCAGGCCCCCTCCGGTGCCGCCCCAGCAGCGGCGTGCAGTACGGGGGGCTCCGGCTGCAGGGCTGGCCTCGGCCTCTCCTCCCTGCCGCCCTCCTCCCCCCCCCCCCTTCCCCCCTGCCCCCTCCCTCCTCCCTCCTCCACGGCCCTCCTCTTCTCTTCTCCTCATCCTCTCCCTCCTCCTCCTCCTCCTCCTCCTCCTCCCTCATCCTCCTTTTCTCCCCCTCCATAGTCCATAGCGCCCCTCCCGCCCATTCTCCCCCTGGCTCCCTCCTCCTCCCTCCCCCCCCCGCCGCCCGCACAGTTCCTCCTCTGGCCGGCGTGGTTCGCCCCGCACGAGAAGGAGGCCCTCGCGCTGCCGCGGGGGGCCCCCGCTCCGCCCCGCGGAGCGCGCGCGGGCGGGCGCTGCGAGAGTGCCGACGCCGCGGGCTCGGCCGCGGGTCGGGCGACCGCGGTCGGGCATAGCGGCAGCCGAGATTCACCAGTCTCGAGCTTATCCTATTGACACGCCAGCAAGGCGATGACAATCTCAGGGATGCGCCCTGAAAAGCTGAGGGAATCCCTAAGACTGGCACCGCGAGGAGGCGATGCCCAGCTTAGGGATAGGGATATGTTCCAGGCTGGTAACAGATCCCAGGTAAGGGGACCCGGTCGGTGGTATAGGGCCCCGGAGCCCCCAAATTGGCCAGAGTCACGAAACCAGGTCTGCCGTATAGATGGTGTTTTTCGGGTGACGACAGGTCCGGTCAGTGGAACGGGGCGGGGGGGGCGTCCCCAGCACACACCACCAAACCAGATCCCACTGAACCCAGTTCTGCCAACGCCCGATACGGGGGGGATTACTCGGCACGGTCGAAACTGGTACGGAAAATAAGATGGGCACGAAGACCAACGGCCATCCCTTTCCATTCTGGGCAGGGTTCGCTGTCCGCGTCGCCGCGGGCCTTTGTCCATCTGAGGCAGAGGGCCGCCTGCCCGACAGCGGCCGTTGTCGTTTTTGGACAACATTTTGTTGTTGGGCATTGTGCCCATTTTTTCCGTACCCATCTCGGGCGTCCAACATTTCAGGGGCAACGTTATTCAGGGGCAACGTTCGTCTGAAGTCGGGCATGTCCCCCTGCAGGAGGGATACTCAAGAATTGTAGAAAGATAGTCTGGTGACGATGTTCCGTTTTTTTGTTTGTTGCATGATTTTTGTTATGGTTTGACTATTTGTTTCATCGTCCTTTCAAAATCCGCCAATAGGAGGACATGCCCGAGCTAACGTGCGTCGGGGGCAACGATAGGGGGGGCATATGCACTAGGGGGGGTGCATCGACCCCCGATCGTCCACTGATCGCCGATGGGGGCCTCGTAGCCCCTCTCCGCCCCGAAAGGTGGGGTTTCATTATCGGGGGTCTATCGCCGATTTCCAGGTCGATGTTCCCCGCCCCCCCGAATGCCCCTGTCGTCGCCCCTCGGTCAGGGTGTTCGGTCGTTTTCACTCGTTCTCGGCGGTTATCGCCGATTTCCAGGTCGAGGCCCCCCCCCTTCGAATGCCCCTGTCGTTGCCCCTCGGTCGGGGTGTTCGGTCGTTCTCGCTCGCTCTCGGCGGTTTTCTGGCCTCGGGGTGCTTTCTCCAGCGGCCGCGCCTCGCCGAGAGCGCTCTTTGGGGGCGCCCTGGTCGTCCCACGACCGGCCGCCGGAGAGGCGAGCCCTGGCCCAGACCCAGCTGCCCGTGCATCGCCGAGAATTGGGGGCCTGGTATAATTCGCCCTCCTCCTCCTCCTCCTCCTCATTCTCCGTCTCCGCCCCCCCTCCTCCTCCTCCTCCCCTCCTCCTCCTCCTCCTCCTCCTCCTCATCTCCTCCTCCCTCCTCCTCCTTCCTCCTCCTCCTCCTCCTCCTCCTCCTCCTCCTCCTCCTCCCCCTCCTCCTCCTCCTCCTCCTCCTCCCGCCCGAGCTTTTTCCCGGCTCGGCCACCAGCGCGGCACCCGCGGCGGCGACCAGGGCTGCCGCCGGGAGTGGCTGCAGCGTGCTGCGCCCGTGGCTTTTTCAAGGTCATGAGATCGTTCAGGCTGCGGTGCACGGCTCCGTCGGTGAGCCTCCTGTTCTGTTTTGCACGGGTTGTGGCGGCAGCGTGCAGAAAAATTTCAGGCCTGATTCTGGGCTGGCCACCATGTGCAAGGGTAATCGGCATCCAGGGCTGGCCACGCAGAGGAGCAGGCTCCGGCGAGGCCTGCATCCTAATTCAACTCAGTCGCCGCCCCCACGGCTCGAGTCGGTCGTCACCCCGTCGTTGGAAGTCCGAGCGCAGTGGGCGGCGAAGTTGAGAGTTTCTTCTGGTTCGGGGCCAGAGCCTGTTGGGACCACCTATGGGCTGGTACCCCCAGAGCCTCTCGATATGTATCGGGTCGCTGCTTTGCACGGCTTCTCTGATCCGCGGGAAGCGGTAGATTGGTGTCTCTCGGAGCGCGCGAGGGAGGCTCGGGAGCTGCAGGCCCAGGGGGACTCGGGCTCCCCGTATTTTTTTAGGACACGCCGTGCGGTAACAGGCAGTACCGAACTCAATCATATGTTTATTGAGTTTCGCTGGATGCGATGGAGCTCGCTCCATGCTTTGAATCAGCTTG